TGGTGGTAGTGTTGTTGTTGTTGTTGCTGGTAGTGGTGGTGCATGGTGATGGTGGTGGTAGTGTTGTTATTGTTGTTGCTGGTAGTGGTGGTGCATGCATGGTGATGGTGGTGGTAGTGTTGTTGTTGTTGTTGCTGGTAGTGGTGGTGCATGGTGGTGGTAGTGTTGTTGTTGTTATTGTTGTTGCTGGTAGTGGTGGTGCATGGTGATGGTGGTGGTAGTGTTGTTGTTGTTGTTGCTGGTAGTGGTGGTGCATGGTGATGGTGGTGGTAGTGTTGTTGTTGTTGTTGTTGTTGTTGTTGTTGTTGTTGTTGTTGTTGTTGTTGTCAGAACAATCAAGCGACTTGCATATTAGCAATGTTTCCGTCATTTTCTTACGTCATCGACCGTACGCCTACGTCTACGCCTCACCCATCGATCGATCCGCCGCACTGTCTCGCGTGCATTGATATCATGATTGATATGCAGCTCTGCCGCGAGAGGGAGCGAGAGATCTATATATAGCGATGAGCTGCGGGGAGAGTTATAGTGAGGAGCTGGCTTCAGAAATCACCAAGCTCTCTTGATGAGAGAGAGAGAGAGAGAGTTGGAGAGGAGGAGAGGGGGAGAGAGAAAGAGAGAGAGAGAGAGAGAGAGAGAGAGAGAGAGAAGGAGAGAGAGAGAAGGGACGAGAGAGGGAAAGGAAGGGAAGGAGCGAGGGAGACGAGGAGAGACAAGAACGAGACAGAGGGGAGAGAAAGAGAGCGAAGAACGAGATGAGGAGAGAGCAGAGAAGATTCGACTGGACTGCGCGCGAAAAGAGACGAGAGGAGAAGAGCGAAAGAGAGACAGAGCGAGCGCGCGAAAGAGAAAGAGAGAGGGAGAGAGGGGGGAGAGAAAAAGAGAGAGAAAGAGCTAGAGAGCATTCACCCAGCTCTCCCAACACACATTCTCGTTTATTCAAATGAAATGCAATTATTTGTCATCAATGAAATAACTTTTGGAATAACTTTGTCTGTGGAACGGCTATGATTTTTAAGAGAACATTTGCTTTGTTTATCAAATGCTTCAAATGTTCGAAAGCATTTGGTTTGCTTATGTCTCGAAAGTAATTGTCATTTTTTGGTAATTGCGTGTCGCGATATAGGTCTACTGCTACGGGATCGACATTGGCTCTGCGCGATTGCCATGGATATTGTTGTCATGATTACCAACTCTTACATTTCCATTGGTGCACAACATTGGTGGTTTCTTCCGAACTCGCACACAAGATGCTATGCATCCATCTGTAGTCATGCAACCATCGTTTCAAATTTCATTCAAAATTGATTAATAAACACTGGTTATAGTTTTGGCTCGCTTTTCTCATGTCGTTTTCTCATGCTTTTCTCATGTCGTTTTCACTACGTCGACGTGGCCTCGTTTCGGCTAGCATCGATTTTATTGATCAGATGTTTTCGGCATATACTCAAGTGACTTCACGCTGTTTAACTTAGTTTAGGTTAATTTAATCGTATAGTTTAGAACTATGGGAGGGATATGTGTCAAAATTCAAACGTTCAATTGATCGATTGATTGTTCAATTGAACA